TGGGGGACACCGCTTGTTACCGGCCTCCACCTGGACGTAGAGCCATTGATGACCACCCTCTGTCTGCGGCCTTTCAACCAGTTTCTTATCCATTGAGTGGTCCACCCATCAAATCCACATCCCTCCAGTTTGGAGAGAAGGATGTGGTGGGGGACCATGTCAAAGGCCTTGCTCAAGTCCAGGTAAATGACATCAGTCACCTTTCCCTTGTCCACCGATGCCGTCACTCCATTATAAAAGGCCACCAGATTGGTCAAGCATGACCTTCCTCTGGTGTAGCCATGCTGGCTGTCATGGATCACACGCCCTTTCCTCATGCGATCAAGCATGTCATCCAGGATGATCTGTTCCATGATCTTCCCAGGCACGGCAGTGATACTCACTGGCCTGTAGTTCCCGGGGTCCTCCTTGCTCCTTTTCTTGTAAATGGGAGTGACGTGACCCTTCCTCCAGCCATCCGGGACCTCACCTGACAGCCACGACTTCTCAAATATGATGGAGAGCAACTCAGCAACCACTTCAGCCAGCTCCTTCAGAACCCTGGGATGCACGCCATCCGGCCCCATAGACTTGTACACATTCAGTCTCATGAGGCGGTCTCGGACCTGCTCTGACCTCACAGTGGGGGGGGATTTACCACCCTGGTCCCCACTCAGAGGTGTAGGGATGCAGGGCTCAGGGACGATAGAAGTACTGGAATCCCAGCCGCCAGTGAAGACCGAGGCAAAGAACTCATTCAATACCTCAGCCTTCTCTTCATCCGTTGAAGCCAGTTCTCCTTCTACATTTACCAAAGGAATGACAAAAAGTGGTGACATTTAGCAAATGTGTACAGGCTCATCTAGGTAAAACAAGAATCAGATTAATTAGACTTCAACACTGCACAGGTAACAAGTCACGAACTCACACCTCCCTGTGTCAGCGCTTCCAACCATGGGCACAAGCTGACTGATCAGTCCTCTGCTGTTTTTACTTTCACTTCTATTGCATTCAAGAGTAATGACAACTTTCTAGCATCACTAAGGTAGCCACTCTTAAAGATTAATGAAAGTTGTATTGAAAGAGCCCTGGGGAGATTATGGGTCTCGGTTTCCTAGCTAGGCTGCAGTGCAGTGCTTTTGCTCTTTTTTCTCCATCCTTTGCTCTCTTCCCAGCAGTCCCTTTGGCAGTGGGCAGCCATCATAATTTCTGGTGTTGTAAAAAACTGACAAAACAGCCTGACATTACTTTTTAAATGTATATTACAATCAGAGGCATCATTTTTTAACACTTCTGATTATTTGATTATTTTTGGAGAAATCAAATCACTCTTCCCCAAGCACAGGTTAGCATTTAAGAAGCCCTCTGTAGAGCACTACTCGATCTGCTGCTTCCCCCTTCACCTTCTGCCTACCCACAGGTCTCCCTGTCCACAGAACGCTCTGTTCAGCACTCCTCAATTCAGCCTTTTGCCCAGAAAAGGCTTCTGCTTTTTTAGAACTGCCTAAAACTTACTACTATCAAAGCAGCTCTTAACAGCCTGACTTAATGCTACTTCTCAGGCCAGCCTGAGTAGTTTTTATTTCACAGAGATTGGTTGATGAATTGGGTGCATTTGCACAATCTTCATCTGAATACGACAGCAACGCTGAATGTTTGGCAAAGTGCAATTTTTTGATCAGTTTTCCTGAAGAAGCATCATTTCACATCCCAGTAAACATGATGACAAATTTATTAACTTGTAAGGAATCTTTGTGTATTACATTTTCATGATTAATACAGTATAGGATTATTTAATGTACATTTAACAGATTAAAGGAATTACCTATCTATCTGACAGATTTTAAAGAGTATTCAGCGGGGAATAATCACCAAACATGAAATGTTCCTAGTGTTCTGCTGTGGTTGGCACTGGAACCAGCATATTGCTCCACCAATTGATCAAACACAGCCATTTGCATTTAATTTTGCATATGGTGCAGGAAGTGATGAAATGGCCACTCACAGAAAGATCTGCTCTGTCCCTAAAAAAAGAGAAAAAAAGCAAAACTTTACCATACAGTTAAAGCTGAATATAGGTCTGTACGATGAGTGCCATACACACACCTGACAAGAAACTGGAGATGAGTTGTTCTGACTTCACTGCTGTTGGCCACAGAGGACCGTGGTGTGATGCTATAGCCAAAGGGTTCAAAACAAATGCACAGGCAAAGGGCATTGAGACAGGGGGCTGCTGTTAACTCTGCATATAGCTCTTATGGAACTGACATTTGTCAATGCAGATATTTAGCATCGTGACATAGGAAACAGCTTTGGCACTGTTTGAAGTTACGTATATTAAAGAATCATAAAATTACAGAATCATTAAGGTTGAAAAAGATCAGTAAGATCATTTAATCCAATAGTCCATCCATCCCCACCACACCCACTGACCAGTCCCTCATCCACATTGTTCTTGAACGCCATCAGTGACAGTGACTCCTCCTCTCCCCTTAGCAGCATGTGCCAATGCATCATCACTCTTTTGGAGAAGAAATTTTCCCTAAAATCCAACCTGAAGAAGGAAGCACTGGCACTGAACTCTGAGACACTTTTTAATCAGAAACTTTCAATGGGTATCAAAACCACAGTAATATTTAAGCCATGTGAACTAAACTTTTTTCCTAAAAAAAAAAATTAAACCACAGCAAAACACCCATCTTTGGTGATTTATTTGCTATGATCCACATTCTGAAATATAAGAAACACTCTGAAATATAAGAAAAAGTCTTTACAGATATCACCAATCATTTTGTACACAAAGTTCATCCTTAATACACCTGTGTTCAGTAGTATCACTGCTGTCAAACAACAGGTATGTGTTGGAGAAGTTATAATACTGAAATTTGGTGTAATTCTACTTCTTTTTGGCAACTTTTGAGGCTTTAGCAACAACTCTGCATGCCACTATAATTCCAACTGCATATCACAGTGTGCTGCGCCTATTTTGCTTTTACCAAACATCATGCTGCCAACAAGCCAACAACTGCTCTGGGCAGTACTTGGTGTCTGTATGTGCAACAATGCTGTTCTGTAGCTGCATGCTGTAGGTGGAGAATGTAGAGAAACTTACTAAAGGCCTAAGAAACTGAGGTTGGCTGAGGACGAACCTTTGTGAAGCACCCTGGCTTGCAAAACATGGAGAGATTTTTAAAGGAGGCAGTTTAATCGCTTAATAGAGCTCACTTCATTGTGATTATGACGAAAAAAAATTGCTATTCTGAAAGAGAATAGGTGGTCTCTAGGTCTGGGAAGAATACAGGGATGTTGTCCGGACTTGCAGATGTGGGATCAGGAAAGCCAAGGCGCAGGTAGAACTGAACTTGGCGAGGGACGTGAAAAACAACAGGAAGACTTTCTATAGGTACATTAGCCAGAAGAGACAGGCCAAAGCGAGTGTACCTCCTTTGGTAAACGTAAAAGGAGAACTGGTTTCAACGGACGAAGAGAAGGCCAAGGTACTGAATGAGTTCTTTGCCTCGGTCTTCACTGGCAGCCAGGACTCCAGTACTCCTTCCGTCCCTGAGCCCTGCATCCCTACACCTCTGGGTGGGGACTGGGGTGGTAAATCCCCCCCCGCCGTGAGGACAGAGCAGGTCTGAGACCGCCTCATGAGACTGAATGTGTACAAGTCTATGGGGCCGGATGGCGTGCATCCCAGGGTTCTGAAGGAGCTGGCTGAAGTGGTTGCTGAGTTGCTCTCCATCATATTTGAGAAGTCGTGGCTGTCTGGTGTGGTCCCGGATGGCTGGAGGAAGGGTCACGTCACTCCCATTTACAAGAAAGGGAGCAAGGAGGACC